TCTGCACATGTACATACTATGTGTTGCCATCAGAGGTCAACTTTGGTCAACTCAGTTCTCTCCCTCCACCATCTGGGTTCCGAAGTTGAACTTGGGTTGTCAGGTCTCTTTCAAGCCATCTTGACAACCCAAAACGGTACTTTTAATTTCAGGAGGAATTCTTCTTACCTGTCTCCACACTAACCCACCAACAACAGCTAGATCAAAGATGTCTGCTTATGTGTGAGGTCCAAAGGACATTTCTGTGTTTGGAGGTTTTCCCAACAAGAAGTAATCCAACTGACGAAGGGAAGAGAGAGAACCCATGATTCCAAGTGGTATCTGCAGCCCCACTCTCAGATCCGCCACTCTCTAACCTGACGGATGCTGTACCTGGTAGTCACGCCTTTAATCTCAGCGCTAGGGAGGCAGAGGCAGGTCGATTTCTGAGTTGGAGGCAAGGCTGGCCTATGTAACAACAAGGTCCAAAGCAGCCAGAGCTAGATAGTGAGATTCTATTGCAATAGACAGACAGACAGATGTTTGAGAGTTCCTCCTGCATCAAGCAAGGACAGTTAGTGCCCCATGGGCTATACACTGGGATACCACCATGAATCCCCAAACCACTTTTCTGTTTTTATGTAAAGACTTTGACCCTAGATTTGAGACATTCATAAATGTGAACTAATTCTAAAGATGGGACAGGCTAGAGAGTTGGCTCAGCGGTTAAGTGCACATGTTGCTTTTGCAGAGGACCTGGGTTTGGTTCCCAGCACACACACACATGGGCTCACAATCATCTGTAACTCCAATTCCAGGAGATTGGGACATTCAGGGGTGTCATGCACACCCATGCAGGCAACACACTCGATACAAATAAAGCAAATAAATCTAAAAAGCTTGGAGATAAAATGAAACCATGAAAAAGGATGCATTTTGCACTGAAAGGCTGCATAAAAGTCATCTCTTGCCCTACTGCCACATGAGGCTGTAGTCTGAGGTAAAAGCAGATGTGAGGTGTACAAGGCCATGGTTAGCATGTGTCAGCCAACACCACCAGCAAAGCAGCAATCATGTTCAGAAACCCCTGTGCCCCCGGGCAGGGCTGCACACACTAGTAATCCTAGGTAGGCAGAGGATCTAGAATTCCAGATCGTCTTGGCTACCTAGAGAACCCAAAGCCGGCCTGGTAAGGTTGCTGAAATGGGGGGACAGATGTACATACAATAAACAACACAGAAGAAATGCAGAATGCCTTTTGACCCAGCAACCATGACACTCTCTGCAAGCACATAGTACATGCAAGAATAAAGATGCTTATCCAACAATATTATAATAGCACAAAACCAGAACCACTAACTAATCTGATGGCTGCCCTTGTACATCAGGGACCTCCTATAAAGAGTCTCCGTTTCCCACCTCTATAGCTGTGTGCCTTCACCTCTCCCTCACTCCAGGATTAGGGTATTTTCCACCTGGGCAGATTTTTAAGGGTACTAAGATGGACTAGGTGACCTGGGGGCAGGCTCTGGGGAAGATGGGATACCAGGAGAAAGGCTGCCCCTGGGAATACTTAGAAGGCTTTCGAGAGCAATCTATGCATAACTTGCAGAGCGTACTGCAGTGGCATTGGGCAGACAAAGGGCAGGCAAGACTGACGGTCACAGGTACGCACTAGAAGCAATTTTGGATTCCTTTTTCTTGTCTCCAAGTTGAATGCTTGGACAAACAACCTGTTCTGAGAAGCGTTCAAAGCAGTGAGAACTGCAGGCTGTCCCTGGGGACTGCTGGGTGAGGTGGGGTTGGGGGGGGGGGGTGTCAATATTTACATCCTGTGCCTAGGGACTGAAGGCTTGTGAACTTGGGCAAGCATTCTGGCTACAGTTATTTTGACTGACAGGCAAGCACTGTGTATGGAGTGTATGGACAATGTTTACCCATTATATATACAGAAACCAAATCACTTGACACGGAGAGCCTGGAAGTCACACCTCAGTCTTGCAAATGCTGGGGAAAGCCTGAGGGAGAGGAGGTGACTGTGCGTCCTGGTTTACCTCACGCAGATCCCTTATGGGAAAGATATGGCTCTTAGATCATAGTGGCAAACATGTACCTTCAGATAAGATGAGCTGCTGGGAAGCCGTTTGGTAAGATTACAGCTAAGATGGTCTAGTTTCAGCTGCCAAGCTCGGGGTCACTGGAGGCTCTCAGCTCCCAGCGTCTCCAATGGTTGTGGATTGACATCGAATGTATATCCTTGCCCCAGGTAGTTCCGATCCTCAAATCACAAGCAAGAATGAAAATATTTATATATATTTATGTATATGTGTGACTGCCTGCATGAGTGTATGTACATCACATGTGTGCAGGTGCCCTCAGGGGACAGAAGATCAAATCCCATGGCAATGGACTTAGAGCCACTTGTGAGCCACCGTGTGTACATACATATATATCTGCTGGAAACAGAACCAGGCTCTTCTTCAAGAGAGGTGAGCGCTTCTCCCCAGCCTCTACTTCCTTTTTTTTTATTTTAAAGATTTTTTTTAAATTTATGAGTGTTTGCCTATGTGTATGTATGTGTACTATGTCTTCCTGGTGCTCTTGGGAGCCACTAGAAGCCATGAGATTCCCCCAGAGAGTTACAGGCAGCCCTATATGGGAACTGAGAACAGAACCCAGGTCCTCTGTAAAAGCAGCAAGTGCGCTTTACTGCTGAGCCATCTCTCCAGCCCATTTTTACCCTTTTCAAACAGGATTCCAACCTCTCATGACTACATGGGCAGGGATGTAGCTCAGCAGTCAAATGCTTGCCCAGCAGGCTCAAGTCCCTGGGTTCAATCTACAGGATTACCAGAAAACGAAAACGAAACAAACAAATAAAAGTAAAATCTAAGGCTTCTCTGTGTTGCGTTTACACAGAAAAGTGGCACCAACCAAGACAGTCACTCCCGGAACGAACTCCTTGGGGTCTGAATTTCTGTTATGTTTTCTACCCATTCTTCAAACGTTCTGAAGTTATTGATATGCACAGATGGTCTAGGTCTGACTTACAGGGCTTTGTTTTCACTTAGAATCCCCTTAACACATATCTTTGTGTTCTTGTGGACTGGCTTGGCGTCCTGTAGGTGAGCCTCAGGTGGCTATTAGAAGTTCAATTAAGTAAAAGGAAATGCAATTTCAAATTCCATTCCTTCTGCGCTAGTCAATAAACAGTGAGGATCCTGGTGTCCAGAGCTCGTGCCAATCTGGTCAAACAGTTGCTAAGGACTTGCTTCGGTAGCTAGTGTTGCTGGCACCGTGGTCAATGCCGATTAGCTGCTTATGAAGTAAATGGAAGAACCTGTCTAATTTACCCGACTGTGCCAAAGACGTGAGTCAGGGATGCCACACATTCTGAATCATGCCTTGGCTGCGTTGATACAATGGCTTCATTCCAGTCAAGTCTGTTGTATCTGTTTCTCCAAATTAATTACTTTAACTACTCTCCCCCTCAACTAGGTATCCAAAGTTGGACACATGAGGTATATGATAGACATGTTTCAGGTAAAGAGACTTTTTTTCCCCAATGTGTTCATATTAAGCCCTTGACTACTTCTTGGCAGACAAGAAACAATTGTATTTTTAAAGTTCTTTGGTCTTAAAAAAATAAATAAGCAACTGTGTTGGTATACCAGTGTTCCAAAAAAGGAAGGGCGGGCAGATTCTAACAGTTAAATGTGACACCCGTAGAATCCTGAAGCGCAAGCAGCAGTTGAAATGGATCCAGCTATTTATAGGATTACAATAAACACACCTTTGTACAGCACAACCATTTACTGCCCAGCTGATCTGAACAGGGACAAAAAGCTGTCTGGGAGACTGCAGCCGCTCTCTTCCCTCTTGCTTCATCCACCAAGCACCTAAATGAGCAATCACTGCACTCTCAAGAAAAAAATCTCTTTCCCTGCCCCCTCTGCAAACAGCTGCAAGCTCTTTTCTAAGCAGATTTAGTCAACAACTAAACTGAAGAACATCCTGAAACCCAGTGGTTTCCCGATGTTCGTTTCTTAGGGCAGAAAGCTTTACAACCAAAAAACGTTTCTCCTTCATAAATAGGTTCATGATTACGTGAAGACAAGTTCTTATAATAGTGAGACTTTGGATTCGCAGCTGTGTCCAAGAAAGAGGCAAAATCAGAAAGCGAATTGTCATTGGATTCTACTTTATTAAATGAGAGAACGCCTCTTTCGTCATGTGCTTGACTTGATTCAAAACTTACAAAGGAGACTGTTCAACGGAATTTATATCTGAGCGGGAAAACAAACGGGTAGGGCGCCTAACCTATGGCGACCTGGGAGGACCGGGGCCACCCCGACTTCTACCCCTGGAAATTGACCCAAAGGACTTTACTGGCAGAGCTAGCGAGCTGTGACAAGAATCCGAGGTTACACCCAAGTCTGCACACCGTCTCCTCTGGCTCACGTCGACGTCACCAAAATCGTGAAATAAACTAAGAAAAAAATCAAGTTGGTTGTGTCCCCACACGCGCACTAAAAGTCGGGGGAACTTGGTCCGGTTTTCACAACTCTTTAGTTAAGAATTCGGAGTTCAGTCTTCTTCCAGTGACCTGAATTCTTCCTCCACAACCTTAAGTAGAGCTTCGAGGCTCGCTTTTCGACATCCCCTCCCCAACCCCGTACTTTTCCAGTCTTTCCGCAGCCCTGACCCTGGAGCATCGGGGTGCAGTATAGAGGACTGGTGGGGAGCAGCGCCCCTCGCTGGCGGGGGCAGGAAGCGCCGCGTGCTCCCCGCTTCGCCTCCCTCGGCCCAAACAATGGCTTTCCACAGGGACGTGCGATCTGGAGCGGCCGGACCCCAGGATCCCCGGAGTACGCAGCCTCTCGACACTGCGCAGAGCTCCCAGCCCCACGGACCGGTCCCCGCGGCGGCCACCACGAACAATGCGCGCCCCGCCCCGCGCGCCCGGCGCGCCTATTGGCCCGGCAGCTGCGGGTAGAACAGCGCGGGCGACTCCGGCGCGCGTGCGCGGGGCGGGGCGCGGCGGGGGCGGCGCTTTGTGTGCAGCAGTGAACTGGGGTCTGCGGGGCGCGGGCCGCGGCGGGCGGCGGCATGGAGGAGTTGAGCAGCGTGGGCGAGCAGGTCTTCGCCGCCGAGTGCATCCTGAGCAAGCGGCTCCGCAAGGTGCGTGCGCCCCTGCCCGCTCCCCGCGTGCGCCCGGCCCTCTGCGCGGCTCACCGTCCGCTCTTATCTCCCCGCAGGGCAAGCTGGAGTACCTGGTCAAGTGGCGCGGCTGGTCCTCCAAGTGAGTCTCCGGTGCGCGGCCGCCTTCCTGCGCGCGCCTCCGGGCCTGGGTGGGAACTCTCGCATCGCAGGCCCAGGCGGGAAGTCCTGTGGCTCCGGACCCAGAGGACTCCGGCCGACCGGCGCTGCCCTTTGTTTACGAGCCCACGGGGAGAGAGCAGGGCGGCCTCCAGCCCCGAGTCCCTCGGGCCCGGCCCGCCACCGCGCCGCGCGCTTCTGGCCCCCATTTGTTGCATGCGCCCCCGCCCTGGAGCTGGCCGCGGCAGGCGCGGGACGCAGGCCCCCTCCCCTTGCCCAAGTTATCCTGCTGTAACCTGAGCTTCCTACGGGTGGGAGGGCTCCCCCACCTACTCCCACCCCCGCCCCGCGCTTGCTTTCTTCTCAATGAGGGAATGGAACCCAGCCTTCTCCTGAAAGGGCTTCCTTTGTAGCTGCCCCGCCACCCTCGTTCCTGGACCCCAGCTCTTCCCAGTACCACCTCCCCAAACCCCGCTGCCCTGCCCGCGCTCTCGGTGGTATCCGCCACTTTGTTCCGTCTGCGCCCCCCGGCTCCCCCTCCCCTACCTGTCTTTCCTTCCCTCCCTGGCTCCGGGCCAGGCCCGGGGGATTCCCTCGGCAGCTTTGCTCTTTGTTGGGGTTTGTTTTTCTCCCAGTGTAGACTGTTGAGTCCCCTCGTGGCCTGCTGGGGCTTGGGGCTTGAGGTGGCAGTTTGCCTGTGGGTTTGAGGCTGTGATGCTAACTAACTTCAGGGACTTCTGAGACCTCAGAGGACTGCCTCTCTGCACAGTGTCCCTTGCTCCCAGCAGGAATGTGGGCGCTGTCCCCCGCAGCCCACTCGGATGCCGCTCACCTGCACTTCTCTTTGCTTTTCCAGACACAACAGCTGGGAACCAGAAGAGAACATCTTGGACCCGAGGCTGCTTCTGGCCTTCCAGAAGAAGTGAGAACTCTGGAGGAGGGGAGAGTTGGGTGGACTTGGCCTGGGGCTGTGGTGTGAGGAAACCTGTGGAGAGCACTGTAAGGCCTCCCAGAGAGCCTCTGGTTTCTCTTGGCCTTTTCTGTGGAGTAACTTTTGGTCGGCACTGATAGCACTTGAGGTTGGAAGCTTGTCATAAGAAGCGTGCCTGTCACTCTGCCCCTGCCAGGGTGTGCCACGGTGCAGGAGAGGGCCCAGAGGGGCCTGGAGCCCACGGTGCAAAGCGAGGCGTTTGATGTTTTGCCCAGGCTGTGAAACAGTGCTGAGGTCACTTCTGTAATTATGGTTGGTGCTTCTGCTCTTAGGTGGGGGGGAGGGATGTTCACTGAGATTAGGATTGTGTGAGATGGTGTTGGGAGGGGCCTGTTGGGCTGGGGGAGAGGGGCGTGAGTGTCAACACAGAGGTCCAGGAACTCCATGTGTGCAGCTGTGGCGGCTGGAACAACACCTTCCAGCTGCAGAAGTTGACTCTTCTGCAGATGAATGATCTGCTCCAAAGCCGCCCCAGCTGAGGTCAGTCGAGCAAGCTTGTTCTCTGGTAGCCCAGCTTGTGTTTCTCACTGTTGCAGGATGGAGGGGAGATAAGTTTTGGCAGGATGTGTTGAGTGTTTGAGCTTGCTCGGATTCCTTTAGAAATGGAGGATAGCAGCATCTCCGCCTTCTGTTAGACTGACAGCTTGGTCCTCTAAACTCACAGGAGATGGCTTGGTACTGTCTAGGGCTGGTATGTTTTTCTGTGATTGAGGTGGTACCCTTGGACCGGGTGCTAGTCGTACAAACCTGAAGCAGCTGCTACTAGAGAAGCTGGAGGGGGTGGGGGGTACTTGAGCAGAGGGAAACAGGTTAGCTGGTGAAGCAAGCTCCTGAGGCAGAGGGATATCCAGTGGGAGGCAGCACATGCTCTGGACACTAGGAGCTAACTGTTAACTTCTTGGTCAAGAAGGAGCCTCTGTGTTTAAGAGAAATCAGAGTCACAGTGTAGAATCAGCTGTTGAGCTCAGCAGAGCACCTGCCTCTTGGATCAGGTGTTGAGCTCAGCAGAGCCATGAGCTGCCCTTTGAACTTGATCCTGGGAAGTTGGAGAACCAACGATGTTTGAGCCTAGGGGTTTTCCTGGAGGTCCAGTCCATTTCTTTTTGAGATCACCTTCCAGGACTCCATGGAAATGGTGTTTGGCTATTGTATTTCACATTGGTCTGTTTGCTTGGAGGAGGGGACCCATGTGTGTGACCAGGCCTGTGTGATGGTCAGGGGGGAAAGCCTGTAGGAATCGCTCTCAATTTTTTAAAAACATTTTTAATGATTATTCTTATTTTGTGTGCATGGGTGTTTTGCCTGCATTTATGTCTGTGTGAGGGTGTCAGATCCCTTGAAGCTGGAGTTCAGACAGTTGTGAGCTGCCGTGTACGTGTGTATGTGTGTGTGCTGGGAGTTGAACTCAGGTCTTCTGGAAGAGCAGCTGGTGCTTTTAACTGACTGCTGAACCATCTCTCCAGCCCCTATTTCTCTATTTTAACCATATGGGTTCTGGGGATCAAACTCAGATCGTTGGGCTTAGAAGCAACTTTACTTCCCAAGCCGTGGCACCAGGTTTCTGTCCCCAGAATGGGGAGCCTGAAAGCTGAGCTTCCTTAGAGGTTGACATGTGCTCTTGAGTGTGCAGACTTAGCCCTGGGCTGCAGAGGTACAGGCTTTGAGGCATGGCTGCTGGGAGCTTGATACCGGCACTCTCCTCTCATAAAGAACACACTTCTGGAGGTGTTTGAGGTATGCATGGACCAGGTGTCATAAATAAGCAAGTTGGCCCTGAGATACTACACTGGAGTCCTCAGCCCCTAGGCTAGCAGCTCATACGGGGGTTTCCTCCTCTTGGTACATACTGGAGGGCAGTCTTTGTGGGCTCTGTGCTTTGTGAGAATGACCAAGTTAGACCCGTAACATCCCAAAGGCTGTCTTAGGATATGAGAGCTGGGATTTCCGTGGGGTCTTCACCCACAGGAACGTTCTCCCAGCTTTGACTTCCTGTCTCCGGCTCCATTTTAGCCAAACTCAAGTGAAACGGGCTGACTGCTGAGGCAGTGTGGGCCAGCCCCCTAAGCTGGTGTCTGGACCTCTGCCCACGGATGTCTGACCAGTCGGATCAGGCTCTGCTGCAGAATGGATGATAAGCTACTGCAAGCTGGAACAGCGGGATCCCTTGAGAGCAGAGGGTGGAGGCTGAAGCCAGGGAAGGGTTTGCAAGCAGGGCTCCTCAAAGCTGATTGGTGCTGTGTCTCCAGGGAACATGAGAAGGAGGTACAGAACCGGAAAAGAGGCAAGAGGCCCAGGGGCAGGCCGAGGAAGCACACAGTCATGTCCTCCTGCAGCCGGCGCTCCAAGCTCAAGGTGAGTGGCCATGGGCTTTGCACTGCCTCCTTTTGGCTCCTCACCCACCTGTGCTGCTTTGGGCAGAAGTTCTTCAGGGGAGCTATTGAAGTCGGCAGGCCTCTTTCCTGTTGCCCCTTCAGGCCTCTGCCAGTGAATGGCACCAACAGGCAACAGAGCAAGCTCTCGCTACCGTGGGGCCTCCTCAGGTGCTGCTTCTCTCGGCCCAAGCCCATTCTGCACTCTGTCCTCCCGGATAGCAGCAGCAGCCTTGATAGATAATGCACAGTTCCCTCTCGGCTTGGAGACTACATCAGGGAAGCCAGGGTTGAGTAAGTGTTTAGGTTTGTCAAAGAGTTGTGGACCAATAGAACAATTCGGGCAAGTTGGACTGGGCCATGCAGAACCCATGACAGACAAGCCAGGAAACGGGCAGAAGCAAAGATGCTATGCACCTCAGGATGTCCTGTTGGCCCTTTTTGCTGCGACCACAGACAGGTGGCCTTCCACACACCAGAGGGCCTTGGTATCTTCCCTCGCTGTGACAGTTCAGAAGCAGGATAGGGAGGGGGTTCTGGCCTTAGGCTCGGGTGGGATGTGCCTTTGTTCATTACTTGGGCTTCATTCCCTAGTTCCTGGCTCCACTGTCTTCCCTCCTATCAGAAGGATGAGAGCCACAGGGTTCCTGCTGACTGAGAACAAGTTTCTGTGGGTTGGTGAGGCTTGGGAGCCTACTGGGGAAGCATAGGGCCCCAGGGTTTGATGGGATTAGCCCCATAAAGCTACTATGGGAGATGCTGGTCCCGCAGGCCACGTAAGGACCTGAGATACAGAAGAAGGCCCTTAACACAGAGCTGACAAGAGAGAGACAGCTGTTGAAGTTGGGGTCTGGCTCTTCCTTCCCACCCCACGCTCCCAGAAATAAGACTCAGATTCAGAGTGTATTACAAATACCTTGGTCATATAGCTAGGCTCTTCCCTGACTAGCTCATAGTTTAACCCATTTATTCTAATCTACATTCTGCCACGTGGCTGGTTACCTGTGCTCAGGTGCCTTGCCTCTGACTCTTTTCCACATCTTCCTGGCAAAGGTGAATCTCCCTCCTGGCTCCACCCCAGAATCCTTTCTCTCTCCCAGATGTCTCGCCTCAACTCTGTTTTCTTCCCAACCCGTAGGCTTTTTAATTGACAGGTGATACATCCATATAATACACAAGATATTCTCTCTACACACAGTGGTCAGTTTACCTATAATTGTGCTAACCACTGAGTGGGTTTCTCCCTTCTTCCCAAGCTTGGTCATTGGTCATTCCTCCCTGGCTGCTGGGGTCTGGGGGCCCCGGAGCCATGGCTGCGGGGTCCCTGGTGCTGCCTGGACAAGCACTGATTTCTGCTTACTTGTCTTTTCAGGAACCAGATGCACCTTCCAAGTCCAAATCCAGCAGTTCATCCTCTTCCTCCACATCTTCCTCCTCTTCCTCAGATGAAGAAGAAGAAGACGACAGCGACCTAGACTCCAAGAGGGGCTCCCGGGGACGTGAAACCCACCCAGTGCCTCAGAAAAAAGCCCAGATCCTGGTAGCCAAGCCAGAACTGAAGGATCCCATTCGAAAGAAACGGGGACGCAAGCCTCTACCCCCGGAACAGAAGGCAGCTCGGAGACCTGTAAGCCTGGCTAAGGTGCTAAAGACCACCAGGAAGGATTTGGGGACCTCAGTCACCAAGCTGCCCCCTCCGCTCAGTGCTCCTGTGGCAAGCCTAGCTGCCCTGAAAGCCCACACCAAAGAGGCCTGTGGTGGCCCCAGCACTATGGCGACCCCAGAGAACCTGGCCAGTCTGATGAAAGGTATGGCCGGGAGCCCCAACCGAGGTGGCATCAGTTGGCAGAGCTCCATTGTACACTACATGAACCGCATGAGCCAGAGTCAGGTTCAGGCTGCCAGCCGACTGGCACTCAAGTCCCAGGCTACCAACAAGTGTAGCCTCGGGCTGGACCTGAAAGTGAGGACGCAGAAAGGGGAGCTAGGGGTAAGCCCCTCAGGAAGCAAGGCCCCAAAGACCCCTGGCAGTGCTGCTGCAGAGCAGCAGAGAGGGAATAATTCCGGGGTTCCAGGTTCCCAGCTGGCACCCACTCAGGAGTTAAGCCTTCAGGTCCTTGACTTACAGAGCGTCAAGAACGGTGTGCCCGGTGTGGGCCTGCTTGCTCGTCATGCCACAGCCAACAAGGCTGTTCCTGCTACCAACCCAGCCACAGGGAAGGGTCCTGGGAGCGGCTCCACAGGAGTAAACATGACCCACTCTCCCACAGACACCAACAAAGGGGAAAAACTCCCTTGCAAGACAACGGCTCTGCCCACCCCTTCTGTCAAGAGGGACACCGTTAAATGCGTTGCTGCCTCCAGTGGGCAGGAGGGCCACACAGTCCCGGGAGAAGGCCGAAAGCCGCCTGCGCTGTCCGAGATGAGCACGGGAGAGGAGAACAGTAGTTCTGACTCAGACCCTGACTCGTCCTCACTTCCCAGCGCTGGGCAGAACCTGTCCGTAGCTATCCAGACCAGTCAGGACTGGAAACCTACCCGCAGTCTCATCGAGCATGTCTTTGTCACGGATGTCACAGCCAACCTCATCACCGTCACCGTGAAGGAATCTCCCACCAGTGTGGGGTTCTTCAACTTGAGGCATTATTGAGACCATTGCCCAAGTCAGATCTGCCTTCCAGTCTCTGGTTTTGCTTTGATGCCTGACCTGGGGGCCGGCTCTGCCCTGTCTTGAGACTTAGGGCTGAGAAATGGCTTCCTGCTGATTCTACCTCTCTGGGCCTCCACTTCAGTCTGTCCTGTCACCTCAGGAAAGCCGGGTGGCCACTGACTTAAAAGCTGCCTTCTTGGGCAAAGCATCCTGTATACGCCTCCCTCCTTGACCTAGTGAGACTCTCCCCTCCCTGCCCAACTACTGTGAGGTAGATCAGGGGAGGGGCTGTTAATACAGCTCCTTCTTCAGGCCAGCAAGGAGAGGGGTGGGGCTGGCAGGACCTTTTCCCAAGTCCAGCCATGGCAGGGCCTTTCTGGTGAGGAAGGCACTTTGTGCTTTGCAAGTAAGGCTGTAGCTTCATTTTTAAAAGGATAATTAGTTGTGACGTTGGGCTCAGGGACCCTGCAGGACTCTTCAGTCTCTATCCCTGGTGTGGTGTCCTCTCTAGCTGCAATTGGATTCCCAAAGCCAAGCTCAGGTCTGGAGTCCGGCACTGAGGTGTGCCTGGGTGCTACTGGACTTGGGAACAGCGAGAGTCATGTCCTTGCCTCCTTCCTGCAATCAGGCCTGAGCCCCAGTGAGAAATGACCCTGTTCCCCTCTGGATCCAGACTCATACCCCTGCTTTGGCCCACTAAATTATACCCTAGTTCTGAGGTCTGACACTCCTGGGCTTGGGGGAGGAGCAGGCTAGAAACCCAGAGCAGGCTAACTAGGAGCTTGGAGTCCTGGGCAAGCAATTTTCCCACTACTTGGAGTTTCATTACAAGGGTCCCGTAGGTTACCACGGTAGCTCCAGTGTGGGCATGCAGGTGTTTCATGGGGGCCTGTCACCCTGCTGCCTGTCTAGATTGGACATCTCTAGACTACTACGTAAGCATTTTCTGTAGTCAATCCTGGTGCAGAGCCCTGCCTGGTAAGTGGGCCACTCTTGAGTCCCATTTTCCCTGACAATCCTCTCCCATGTTCGGGAGCTTGTGTTTCCTTCTTTGCTGAGAAGTAATCTCCCTATGCTGTTTGTGTGGTGGGGCAGTTTGGCAGCCCGCCTGGCAGGGGTTCCCTAATTCCTTCCCTGTCTTTAGGAGATAAATCTAGTTCTGAGCTCCTTTCTAAATGCCTTCTCCCTGGTAGCTGTCTTGAAACTACCTTGTCAGGTTGCTGGCCGATGTCAGGATCTTCTGTCTGTCCTGGAATGTCACCGTGGGCCATGACAATCTGGTCAGTGAGTCTGTGATGCCAAAAAGTGGGGGTGGTATGAAACCCTTGTTCCTACTTCTGCCAGCAGGTGTGGGCTCCTCACTCCAGTTGCCTTGAAGGGATGCGTTTCCCCTTCTAAAGCCAGCCAGACAGTGGGCTGAGGTATCTGGGACCTGCCACACTTTCACAGTGCACACCCCTCACCCCAGTATCTCACTCTGCACACCAAATAAGATGGTCTCTGTGTGACCAAACGGACCTCAGCGCTGTGCCTTTGGGGACAGACCTATATCCATGGCTCCTGAGAGATGCCCGTGATGTCTCGGGGGCCGTGTTACTGGCAGCAGGAGCTACCACTGGGAAGAATTCAGGGCCAGGGAGTGGGTAGTGAGGGGGAAAGGGTTATCTACCGGACTGTCGGCTTCCCTCCCTGTCCTCAGGATCCTTTGCTGCCTCACCCAAGGTCTGCAGCCTTTGTGCCAGACACTGCCTTAAAGGCATCTCCATGTCTTTTGGGGGTCCCATGAGCTGTTGGAGAAGTGACCCTGTTTGGGGATCTGGGTTGACTGGCCTTTGTCCCCCTGTTGCCGGTCTCCAAACCCCGATTTGGTGCCTTTTATTTTACCGGTTACGTCAGTCCCAAAGTTGAAATCTACAAATCCTTTCGGCCACTTTGCCTTCTTGTGTGTTTTCCCTGGTGCTGTGACCCCAGCGGTCTATGTTACAAAGCATATGTGTGTAGTGCGCCATCGTGAGAGCCTCACTGCAGTCGGCGCCATACGCTCTGAGTCAAGTTCTCATGTTTACCGATAAATAAAGTAGTTGGTTTTTATGTTTTGTATTTGCTGTTCTCTCTTCCCCCCACTCCTTAGGGGGTGCACATGCTGCGTGTACAGACACACACACATACAGGTAACTAGGCATCTGACAAGATTCATTTTTTTTCCCACAAGGGTTTCCAAGTTTATGTGCTACATTTTCATGCTAAGTGGATTTCAGAATATCGTGACTTCTAGCCTAGGCTGGGCTTGAACTTCTGGCTGTCCTGCCTCTGCCTCCCTAGTATTGTGATTACAAGCCCCTTTTGTCTGTTTCAACACCTGATAGGAAAAATGACCGGTATGTCCTCTTCCTCAGAAGTATTGGCTTTAAAAATTAAAAAATCTTTGGTACTAAAGTGTGCCCCCTGTTTGGGTATACCCCAAATCCTGACCTTGATTAGAGAGCTCTGGTCCCAAGATTTCATCTAGAAGGAAATGTTAAACTTTAAGCCAGCATCAGTTGTTGGCTTGATTTATCTGCTTTTAAGCCAGTTGTTTATGTATGCTCCTTTAAACTGGAGCCATTGGCTTTCATGTGGGGGTTAGCAAGGATGGGCCCTGGGAAAACTTAGAATCTGGGTTGGAACAGAACAGTCCAGCTTTCAAAGAAATGCCTGCCCCAGGAAGCCCATGGTGGTCTGGGGAAGGGTTGGAGTAAGGCAGGACAATGTCCTGGTCGCTATGTTTACACACATGAATCTCACAGTTCAGGGGTTTCTAGTGACATTAGATTATAGGGCCTTTAGACCGATGTTACTTTGTGTTGCAGGGGAAAGATAGTAAATGACGAGGTGGGGGGAGGGCGGGGGAACTCTTGGTTTTTTGCTACTCTTAGTATCAATAAATATATTAAAACTTCTAGCCTGGTGTGCATTGTAAAATACATATAAACAAAATAATCTTCATTTTCCCCTGTCATGGGGCACAGCACCCGTCTGGACATGGGGCTTAACTGCAACGCTGAAAGGGGCAAAAAGAAACCATTGGAAACAGCGTAGCCACTCAGGTTAAAAAGACCTCTGCAAGGAAAGAGGAAAGTGTTAAGAGCAACAGCAGTGACGAATGGGAAACATGAGGAGTGCCCAGAGAGGGTTGTCCCATGATGAAGGCTACTACCAGCCTGGAGAGACTAAGAGTGCCACAGAACCACACAAGGTGTCCACCATACAAAAGTCCGCCTTCCCAGAATAGCCAAGGAGCAGAGTTTGAAAAAGCCTGGCTAATGAGAAAGACTGTATATTCATACATATATATGATCTATTCATGTTCATATATATATATATATATATATATATTAGATACATAATCATATATAGTCATCAAGAATATCCATATATATTCATATATATATTTGTCATATATACATGTACATATATTTTTTTTTTCATCAAGGATGGAAATTTGGCTGATGCTGCCTTCATCATGGGACAAGGATATATATATAGATATATTTACAGGTCTCCAGCCACCACAGGGAGCTTCTGTGATACAAAGTAACTCACTTTTCCCCACACTGAGGACATAAGAGTAAACCAGCACTCTCATTTCCACAGTACCATGTCGGGAAGCGCTAAGAAGGGCAGGAAGCTTGAGTGAAGGGCTGCTTTGATTCTTACCCACAACTGGTGAGGAAGGGAAGACACGCTTATGACATAACCTTTCCCAGCCCGAGATTTGCGCTACTCTCTTCGGCATTAATTTTATTCAGAATTTTCCTTTGGCCTCCCAGGAGAATAGAGTTCCTTTGAAGTATAGAGAAGATGGGCCCACTCCTGACAGAAGGGCTGTTGGGACTCAGGACTGGATGTCAGGTTATGAGGCGGGATCAACACTACAGATAGAAACACCTTTTTGCAGAAACCCGACTCTTCTTTCAACTTATTTTTGTGTGCATGAGTGTTTTGCCTGTATGTACGCCCGTGTGAGGATGTTGAATCCCCTGGGACTGGAGTTAAAGTTCTGAGTTGCCAGGTGGATGCTGGGAATTGAACCCGAGTCTTAATAGCTGAGCCATCTCTCCAGCCCAGGAAACCTATTCCTTGATTCTTGCAAAGCAGGTTGCTGGCGATTTTATTTCCCTTTTGTTATCTTCAGTGACCTTTGTTTCTCCTCTCCTCTCCTCTCCTCTCCTCTCCTCTCCTCTCCTCTCCTCTCCTCTCCTCTCCTCTCCTCTCCT